TATATAAGAATCCCACTTCAGTTTAGAACTTTGAGTAGTGTATCCCTGTGCTTCAGATTAATAATGCAGCAGCAGAGCTCACATATTGCTCGTATTTATGTGCACCCAAAAAATCCTCTATGGCTTTATTACTGTGAAAAAAATAAACAGACCAGACGTAGCAGACTAGGTGTTGAAAACCTAAATACCTAACTTCCAGTATTTTAACTTTTGTATTTCATTAACACTCATTGTGCGGTGCGTACCCATACACACACATGCACAACGTTGACCTGAATTTTCATGACAATATTCAGAGAGATCAGGGGATGTTTCAGTTTTTTACAGGCAAAAATTAATACATGGCTTTAATGAATACACTATACACAGGGTCTTTTGTTCTTAATTGGCATCAGATGGGAAAAAAGATAGTGGCATCTATAAATACTGATGAAAATAGATATAGATGAAGTCAACAGCGATTTTCTGGCATAAAATATGAGTAAAAGTCAATGTCATTTTAAAGATAAACAGGCATTTTTCATGCCATTAAATAATGCTATAAATCCTGCTGTACTGGATTGCAAATAACTTCAGCTGAATAAAACTGCATGACATGGGATTTACTTATCCTGTATGTTCAGAGAAACAACTTGTTCTCTGACAGCACTCATTCTTGGCAATTTATTGCAGCTGTCAGCAGCCAATTTGTTCAGATTACTGCTATGCATAAAGGTGTAACGATCATGAGGATTTATTAGCTGATTATCGTAAAGGTGACAGGATCGCCTTCAAAAACGCAGATGATAAGAAAGTTAAATAATTACATGAAGATTAAAATCATTTCACCTTCATTTTGATCTTAGTATTACCTACATAAACTTCCTGCAGTATATGTTTTTAATCACAGGAATATATTGACTCAATACGGAAGAGAAATTATTTACTCACAGCAAAAATGTGTGAATATTAGATGTACTCAATCTGGACAATATGTGCACGTACATACGTATTTCCACTCATCAGATGACGCAACGGCTAATGCTGCTCACGCGAGACCCCATGCTTATTTGCACGTAAGGCGGCTGCCCCTGTGGCTTTAGCTGCTGGTGCCTTCCAAAAGAAAGAACTTCTAGACCTCGTCTTTGGCCCTGGAATATTTTTCTTTTTTAAAAAAAAAAAGGTATTCAGAAGAATGCCAGAATTTAACCTCCTGCATGATGAAACTCAGTTCTGGTCAAGCCCAGCGTTTCCTCATACAAATCAGCACAGATTGAACACAGATTTTCCTCAGAGCTTTAGTATGAGGTCTTCTTCCAAGCTTTTGAAATCCCAAAACAAACACTGAAATGGTTCTAGGATTTCGGGGTTTTAGGGTATTCTGAGATGGAGGGTCACAAGGTGCTACATCTGTTAAACTGCCATGGAGAACGCACGCAATCCAGGCTCAAATGAATTTTACAAACACAAAATGCTCAGTTAAGAACAGAAATCAATCAGCCAGCATCTCATTTCAGGAACCTCCATGCCGAACATGCCTGGGTACCACGATGAAAACAGAGCTTTGCACTAGTTCTGTGACAGACGTGTCTTTCTCCTGCTCTGAATTAGGATGCCATGCCGTCACTCTCACCCTCTTAATACCTTCCTCCCTCTTACAAGCCACCCCTTCCGCTCCAACCTCCTCCCATCACGCCGCCCCAAAGCCAGAATCCCACTTCCATGTCTTCAGCCTTTTCAACTTCTTCCCTTTGCCTTCCTGCCCTCAAAAAAAGATCACAAGCCCAAGCCCTCGCAGTCTGAGCACACGTGCCATCACCACCTTGTCGCATTCCCAACTTCATCCTGGCTCTTAACGTGCTGCAGCCCAATGACCACGACACAAGGCCCAGGTCTATGCTCCCGGTTTCCAACTCCTTTTTTTTCACTGAAACGTAGCTGAGACGGAGTATCATTCCTGGAGAAGTTACAACTTTCTACTTCGGAATAACATTTGCAAGTTACAGAGTTCAGCACAGAAAGAAAAATTCAACTCAGTGGGGCTTCCCAGGCTGTTTTCCAGGAAGGACCTGGAGTTTGTCCCTTCAACCTTCCACCTGGCAACCCAGTTCTCCCACAGCCAGCTCAGGCTGGAAACACTGAACCAGTTTTAGGGATGGCAATCTTCAAAAAGATTCCCTGGCAAAGCAGCCCAGTCACGCCTATTTTGCATGGGAAATTCTGCTGACCTTGATGTGTGCTCTGCAAGCAGATGAATATGGAGGACACAAAAACCCCAACACTGTGGATGAGAGGTGGGAACTCCACCTTAAACAAACTTTTTCTTCTGTTTTCCCAGTGTAGTCTGCTGTTTCCCTCAATGAGTAGGATCTCCTCAATCTCAGTCTCTTCTCCCCAACCCTACGTTGGCCAAGCAGGACATCTTCAAGAAAGAGTAATTTTCATTTGTTTTTAATAAAAATATTCCTATATAATCATAGAATCGTTTAGGTTGGAGAAGTGCTTCGAGATCATCAAGCCCAGCCGTTATCCTAACCCTGCCATCCCACCACTAGACTCTGTCCCTAAATAAAACAGCTGCTGCTTGGGCATTACTCAAGGAAGTGGGAAGGTCACAGTAAGATGGAGGGGATTACCCTCCGTCACTGAGCAGTGCTGGAATACTACCAGGAAGTCTTTTGTTTCCCTCCCGCAGCCTCATTATCACTTTTCCTGGAACCTGAATCAAAACACTCCATTTATTACATGTGCCTTGAGTGCCACGGAGCCTTCGTCACGGAGCACGACTCGGTCATGCTTCGCAACATTAATATACGTTTAGCAGAACACACAGATACCCAGAGGAAGCCCACCGAAGCATTTACAGCTTTTAGAGGCCGCCTGGAAAGGAGAAACTGGGGAAGAGAGGTCAATGTAAAGCGGAGCTGTCAGGCATCAGTGATTTTTATCCACAGTGACTGGAAAAGAGTATCAGGGAGGGGGAATATTAAGACCTGTTTTTGTATTCAGATTGAGCTTGACAAATGACAAAGTTTTTCATGGAAATCTTCATGGAGAGCAATTTGTTTGCGGGTTGCATTACCCAGAGATAAGGCACCAACAGAGGTGAAACTAGAGTGTCTGAAAGGACAAACTGAAGCGGGACTGTACATACGCCGACACCAGACAGGTCACAGAAATCAAGTGCGGCAAGGTTTCGGGGAAAATACGGCTGATTTGGTTAAAATCAGTTATATACTGCAGAAGAGGTACAGATCTGCTTTGTCCAAGGAGCTCCTTTCTTGGCTTATACAAGAATCACTTCTATTTAGGAAAATGACAGAAAACAAAACAAAACAAGGTTCTCCCACTGAAAAATGCTAAGGGCTTCAAGCATTCTTCTTAGAGAGAAGATTTCTCATGCTGTCAATATTTTTGACCTAAATAAAATGTAGAAATCATTTGTTACTTGCACAATAGCATGCAGTTACTACAGATAAATAGATGCATGCTTAAGGTGTACAACTTTTTTAGGTGTCTGAAAAGCTACCTAAGCAGCTCACGTGTTTGCAGTTAAAGATTTTCCTTCTCTAATTTCTCTATCACATTCTTATTTAGGGTTCAAGTGCCTTGGAGCAAAAACGGTGTCTTTTATTTTAAGCAATGCTCTTAAGACTTTGTAATTATTGGTAATGGTAACAACGTAAGAGCTGCTTTGATGGCAGCGCTCTGAAAAATCACACGTGAATGCTCTGAATTTTGGATGAGAAGGTTACAGTTAAGCAGGAAATAGGAATGATTTCCCGGGGTATAGCATGTGTTGTCATAGGACTAAATGATTATGTTGCCTCAGAAAAAATATTGTTACCACCTGTGCTGACTGAAATCAAGCGAGGGAAAAAACACGATGCAAACTTCAACTACAGAGCTACCACCCCATCCATAGGGTTTCATTATATAAAACAAAACCCTGCTGCGTACACTTCTGAAAAGTGGGTTTGCCCCATATTAAAGCTGTTTGCTTGCCACAGGCGCTGTATGTTTTCTGAGTTCCCACCACTCATGGTAGGAAATAAACGCAGAATAATATGGGGCTGATGTGATTTGATAAAGAAAGCCATTACCCTAAACGGAACGAGAGGGAGGAAAAGGTTAGCAGAAACATAACCACACCAAGATCAAAAGTACATGGCCTGGTCTGTGGCATTTCCGTTCCTGATTTTAACTGCCAAAAAAAGCAATTCTACCAGTTAACAGTATCGCTGTCCTAGTGAAAGCACCTACAACCAATATTCTAGCAAGCAGTCAAGATATGTAGGATTAATAATTACTACCATTACGAATGTACGGATATCAATTAAAATATGATGTAAAAAAACACCTGAGCTTTCAAAATAGCACTGACTTTGTACGGTGTCTATAAGTACAAGACTGTTTTCCCCTATTAGCTAACAGTTAATGGCACTGTTGAAAAAATGAGCATCTTTCTTCTTCCTGCACAGTAAAATGGAGCGTAAGCACACCAATTTACACCATTTCTTCAACTCTAAGACAGATCCCAAAGATTGACTTTTCCTGAAAGCGAATTAGGTGAATCACCTTATTTCTTCGCCCAAAGGGTGTGTGTCATCCTTCAAGGCTCTCACTTAATTTTCCAAACAGACTAAAAAAAGTACGTAATTTTGGCCTCATGTGCCTATTAGGAGTCAGGGAAGTTATTTCTCCTCCAAGTTGGACGTTGCCGTATGGAACTTCCTGCATCTTGATTATTGCTCTGAATGTGGGGGTTTGATTTTGGAAAACCTAAGTCTATCAATTGGTAAAAGCTGCCACCTGCTGGTCAATAAAAACCATTTGTGCCATCAAAGTAAAGAATTACATCCGTGCAGCAAACTGCACTGACACTTTGTGAAAAATCCTCCCCCACCTTTAAAAAAAAACCAGCAAGAACAAACGGTCATAAGAAATAGTTTCAACGGCAAGGCTCATTTTAATCATCTACTCTCATCCCCAGGGAACAAGAAGGCTGTAATTGCACAAACCTGCCAATAAAATCATCTTTTTTGCCAGCATCTTTGTCCCACACGGTAATATCAATAATTCCACCTCGTTCTTCATAGAGATGAAAGTCAAACTGCTCCCTCCACTGAGGATTCAAAGTTTTTGGCACAATCTGAAAGGAGAGGAAAAAGAAAGTCATATTGCATTGCGCAGGGATACACTTTTCTTGAATTGTAAATTTGCTCTTTAGAGTCTGTGCAGGAGGGGTTTTCTGTCATCTGCAGTCTGACTACCTTAAGCAGTGAGAATTAAGAAATAGTAATTAGAGAAGACTACTGGCCAGCGCTCTCATGCCTCTCTGACGCAGCAGTAACCTCCAAAGTCCTGCAACCTGTCACCTTCAAAAGCCCCCCGAACAAAGGATTTACCCTGGGAATGGATCCATTTTTCTCTGGAATAATTACGCCCTCTCTTGAGCAGCAGTTAGCTGCAAAGTTATGTGCCTGAGCCTAAAGGAAAACAAAGCACCTGCAGTGACAAGTAGATGGTGACTGTGAGTGTTCAAACAGAAACAATTTTATCATGTCCTCTTGCCCCAGCCGCAGTAATACTGGGATAAAGATGATACTATGGTTTACTTTTTATGGAATAATGCTCTTCCCTCCCCCCCCCAAAAAAACCCCACTGTATTTCACTTCCTTTCCTTCACAACTCAGGTGAAAGTAGCTTTCTCGATCGTTTTCAGTCCAGTTACTTCCGACAAAATAAGTAACTTCAACGGACTTGAGTCCACGTGTTTCAGACCACGCTCTGCAGAACAGAAAGGTTGCAGGCTTTGCTACCACAATGCAAAAGCAGTGGTCACGTAGTCACCCCTGCCCTGAGCAAGAATGGAAACTGCCTAGAGCCTTCCCCACGAAGCAATCGCTGCTGTCTACATCCACCAGTTCCGCTGGCTTGAAAAAATGGAAAAATCAGAGAGGATTAAAACGCAGAAACGCTACGAAAATTTTTAAGTCACAAAAGCGTGAAATTTGAGTTCTTCTAATTTGAGATTAAGAGGCCCTAAGGTGGGCTCAGAGATCTGCAAACGTGGCCTCAGAATGTTCCTGGCCTCTTCCTCACTTTGCCCTTTCTCTGGCTGTGAAAACCACATGGGCCGCCACGGCCATTGAGAGAGGAAGGTCAATGGTGTCATCGTCGGACCCGGCATCTTCCATAAACAGCCATTTCCAAATCAACAGGGGTCAGGGAAATGAAAAATAATAGCAAGAAAGCCAAACAAGCCTCCATAATAATTTTCTCCCTGATCAATCCTCTCTGCCTGTTAAGCTCATGCATATACAAAACTTTAATGAAACTTGCTGCAAGAACACAACGAGGAAAGTGAGGATATAGCATGACATGGTTTGAGGATAAGACCACGCAAAGGATCCAAGAGGCTACCGGCATCAAGCCAGAAAAGGCACAAGGGTGGTATCTACCTGTCAGAATGACTCCACGTCTCTCCCCTGCCATGAACAACCCACAACGGGAAATAAAACCCAGCACAACTGGTATGGAGAATCAGGTGTGCCTCCCCGCCACCCCGCAGCTTTCAGTGCGACATCCTTCCCCATCCATTTATTTTTGATAAAAAGAAACATCTAAACACAGCTCCAGGGGCTCTGACAGCTAATTCACACAACGATAAATCTCCACCACTATTTAAATAGTCAGGCGAGCCACAAAAACAGGAGCAGGAACAAAACCTTTCAAACACAGCCAATGCACATTTTAGGCCACAGCTAAAATTACCTTGCTCTTGTACTTCTGATGCCCCAACCGGAACTTCACGTAAGGATCGCTTAGTCCATTTGCATCCATCGCCTTAAGTTCACGACCTTCTATTAAGGTAACACTAACTATCCCTCTCCATAGCTGAGACTTTCTGTGCAGGTCTGAGAGACGTAAGCTCTGGGTCTGAAACTTTAGGGAAATAAAAACATAGGTTTAGTTAAAGCAATTCCAAAAATTCCCCCTGCGTTTTAACATTCAATTTTATGTAACCATGAACGGAAAGCAACCATCTTAAGCCATTCTGAAGTTATCTGAGGGTACACACGCAAACTTTATTACAAAGAATTACTCGGAGAGAAACAAGACAGTGACAAATACGCAGGTAACACCATAGGGCTGCTTTTGCAGGAGCAAGCTGAACAAATGGTACTCAAGGAAATGTTCAGAACAAAAAGCCAAAGTGTTTTTTCCTGCTTCACTTCTCCCTCTGCTGATAGAACGAACAACATTACAAATAAACATTGCAAAGTCTCTCATGTTAGTAGCATGTGACTGGATGAACTTGAACAAACACTGAAATAAACATAAAAAACAGCGAGAAAATGGAACTTCTGTTAAAATAATATAAACCCACCATGAGAAGCATGGACCAAGGGAAAATTAGTCAGTAAACTCCTGTGCACATGGCAAGTATCTCAGCCTCTAAAATGACGTGGTATTCTCAGAAACAGCAAGGAAAACTGAATTAAATACCAACACATTAATTCAAGAGTTTCAAAGCAAGAGGTTGCAGAGCCTCTGATCAGAACTGTGCAGAAACTCATGGACCCTGAACCCTCAGCCGCTGACCTTGAGGGTTAAAAGAAAATTCACCCACACAAAGCCGATGGCCCCAGCATTCACCAAGGAACTCCACTGGGGGCAGGAGGGCAGGGGGTTATATATTTGACTATCTGGAGATGAGCCGTGGCTTGCTCTGAGCCACGGGGGGTACAAGGCACTGCCAGGCAGTTCCAGAAGTGGGAAATCACCTCTGCACGCTCCCGGCAGGCAAACACATCTCGGGTGCATCTGAGGAGCAAGGCTGCCACAGGCTCTCCCTTTTATTCTTGTATTCGTTCAAGGTTGCCTTACCTAAAATCAGAACACTAAATACTTAAATATTTAAATTCACACATCGTTCTTTCTAGGGATCCCCAAAAAAGCACGTCTGCATGTATACTCAGCTGTACTTACATAAAATACATGCATTTTCTTTATTGTGCAGTGTAGTTTGAGCCACAATGCCCTATGGGCCCAGCAGCCCTCCACAAGGCGGAGCGTTGCGCGGTTGGCTCCATCACTTGTGCTCCTCTGGTATCTCTGTTAGACGCTTTCGGTGCAAACTTGGTTTGAGTCTTTCGGAGGGTAAACACGGCTGGATGGTTACAGCTGTACAAGTGCCAGGGCAGGAATTGCACTGTATTACCCAGAGAAGATGACAGAAGTACACTGGAGTAGAATCACTAGACTGTCATCTGCACTCCCCAGACTCCAGAGAGAAGAAGTGTTGTACATGAGGACTGGGGCCGCTGGGGTTGGGAATCTGAGTGACATTTCAGATATCATATTGGCATGCATTCACATTTTCTAACAGCTACTCGTTCCCAGCAGTACGGTCACTCCTAAAATATTTCAGTATTTATTAAATATGTCTCGTCTCGAAGCGAAGGATTTGACTGCAGAGAAACTTCTCGCAAACTTTCTGTTTCTCTAAAGGCAAAGAGGAACTGCGCACTTCAGCTGGAAGTGGAATAACCTTTAACTCAACCTGCGACATGGAGCAGCAGTGGGGCAGCAGAAAATCTACCCAAGTTAGGGCACAAGTGGGAAAGGCAGTTGCCAGAAGAGATTTCATCTACAAGATGAGAACATTATTAAACTTCATAAATTTTTTCTCAGCACAAATACCCCTTCGTTGGGAGCACACAGTCCAGACTGCCAAAGACGTGTCTTGTGAAGAAGTGGTGAATTTGTTTTTCTTGTTCCAGTTTCTTAGAAGGTTTAGAGCAAAAGAAGGACCCCAGACGGGCTCTGCCCTGAATAAAGGTGACGAGAGATGCAGAAAGAAGAGACAAGGCATCTTTAGGAACATATTTCAGACTGGGACAGAGGCAGTGGTTAGCCGAGACTTACTTTGGCAAAGAATACACAGCTGTCGGGTTTTTTTTAAGAGCTGAGTGGGAATCCAAGTGATTTCCAGGACACTATCACAGAAAATAAGTGACAGTTTGCATGTACAACTCTTTTAAAGTAAAGCTTGAGCAAAACTGCATCATTCTTTACTTCACTAGTCACAAATGAGACAGTGAATCATTTAGAGAGTATAATTGGTCTAAATTCTGTATTTGCAACGGGTCTTAAAATAATTTCCTGCATTAGAACAGCTGCCACCATATAAAACACACTGATTTTTTATGTCCAGTAGGGAGTTGCGTCACCAGCAGTAATTTACACACGAGGTGGGCACGGCAAGATCTCAATGACCACTCATGGAGTGTAAAATGACAGCAGGGTCCGAGAGGGGTTCACAGGGTCAGGCAGAGCCCCTGAGAACAAGGACGCTTTGCTGGGGGAAGAGGCCCTTTTGGGTCAGAGCCTGCGACTGGCACAGCGCCCTGCAGAGCCCCGTGCCTCGGTGACCGACAGTGAAGCTGCAGAGCCTACATCTCAATCTGCTGGACGAAAAGCAGCTGGCTGCTAAAAGTAACGTGGTGTGGGCTGGTTGTGGCTGCCTCTTCCTCAAGGTGGGGAATCCAGACCGTGATGTTGCTCCCTGTCCTTATCGGTAACGCGCAGATCCATGGAAGAGCAAAAGGGAGGCACGGAAGAGTTGGGGTACAGGTAGCTGGAGCTCAAGCTCCGCATCCAGGTTTCCTGGGTGGGAAAGCCATGGGCTATGTGGTCTTATTCAGCAAGCATAACCTCCAATGGGTGTTTTTCCTGTTCCAAGTGAGATTGAACAGCATCTGAACAGACATCTAGAACACGCTTTCCTTCCAGCCAAAGTGCTCCTTGTCCTAAGAAACTACGCGTGCTGACATAGTCTCTGATTTCATACAGTCTTTCTCATAGGAAGTAAATAAATACAGATGTTGAGATTTCAAGTCAAGTTTGACAAAAAGCTAAAAGACAAAAAAATGGAAAAATAAGACTGATGTCACATTTTTGAGTTCCTCCCTTATGAAGCTAATTTCACAGTGTGGGACAGGTACATCATTTCTAGGTACATTTTTAGGTGTCTATGCAACCTCCTGTAACCCAGCCCTCAGTGAGTTACAAAGTTGGAAGGGAAAATGTGAGGGTAAAACAAAGAAATGAGCATGGATCTTTCCAAGTTTCTCCTGCCCAGGAATATTCCTCAAGACTAACTCTTAGATAACTTATTTCCCTCAGAAAGCAGGCGACGCATTTTTCGTTCTGCCTTCACTATTCTGCCACAAACAAAACCATGAAGAAACTGCTTTGGGAATAGTGGAATGTTACATATTTCATAATATTCCATCTGAAACTGGCCATATTGCCACAATTCAGAAAGAAGCAAGGTCAAGATCTGAGGCTACAACTAACCGTCATTAACATGGGATTATTTTTCATATCCTTGTGCGTTTCTGAACAGGCATGGAGACTCCCACCTGCCATGGTCTGAACCAAAAACAAAAGGGGGGGAAAAAAAAAGAAGTAAATAAGAAAAAAGAAGAAAAGGGAAAAAAAAAGGAAAAAGAAAAAAAGAAGTTGCAGCCCACATACTGTGAAGCTTTCTCTCTCTCTTTCCCCAAAAGGAAATTAAAATTAGATTTCTGAAAAGGAGTCTTTCACAACAAAGCTGACTGCAAAAGAAAACCTTACATCTTTTCATATCCATACACAGCTTTAATGCTTCCACTAGGAACAGATAAGCAAAAGCCAACATTTTCTTACATGATAGGATTAGCTTTTATTTGTGTTCCACCTATTCTGCCTGAACGCGGGGTAGTGTAAGGGCTAGGGACGCCAACAGCAGAAAATCTTCCTACAGAGAAACAGAACAGTATCCCCTGTTAGATATGGTTAACGTAGTTAGCCAAAAACAATGGCGGAGCTGAAGGATGATCTTAAGCATGGCTTAATATTCTGCATACGGTCAGCTATTAGTGGTTAGCGTTACGGGGCCGCAAGCCAACTAGGCTTAGCCAGAACCCGGGCCTCGTTCCCAGGTTCTTCAAGACCATGTTCCTGATGAGTGTATTAATTGCCACAACTTTACTGTCACTGTCTTCAGAGGAAGAGAAGCCATAGCAAGTACTTCTGAAAATCCCGTAAGCATTTATCTCTGCGTATCTACGTGACCTTATCTCTGCGTATCTACATGACCTTTGAAACTCTAGCTCGTAATGAGTTGGAGAAACCCAACCATCTGTCCTTGCCGAGGCTGACCTCACCTTTTCCTTGGCCAGCCCTTGTGCCCTGCAAAGCCGCACCTCTCTCGCTCGCGTGTGCTTGCACCCGTGCAAACAGACTCTGCTTTTACTGAATCTCATTAAACACACCACTAAGACACCTCCTCCTCCTCCTCCTCTGCATCCTTCAGCACAAAACCTTGAACAAAAAGTTCAAGAATAACTCAACAACAGCCAGAGGTAGAACAGTGTGCCTACCAAAAAGTTGGCATTGTTTGGGTTTTTAAAGAAGTTTTAAAAAGCAAATAAATAATGCAGCTATGTGTCCTGCAAAGGCATCTCTACCCAAAAAACTACTTTGGTTTGGAAGCTTTCAGTAAAATACCAATCAAGAAAATAATGGAAGAACATAGGAAACAATGGTCCTCTTCTTTGCTGTGGAACGGAGCGCAGATGTACACATACAGTAGAGTGAATCAAAGCCAGCATTTTAAATGACTGCTGTGAACTCAAGTAAACAGAATTCTTCTCCCTGGATTTCTAGGATGCTTGCGTGGCTTGGATAAAAGATTTAAAATAAAGATTGAGAATGTCAAGAGATACAGCCGCTACTTCTTGTCCACATGATGAAAAAATCAAGGAACAGTCATATACAAAAAGGGACGCACAAGGCACTGTCGTATGCATTTACAATGCTT